TTTTACAATAATTTGGCATGAGCAACTCTTTCTTGAAGTCTCAATGTTGTAACAATGAGATCTCACCAGCCTACTTGAATCTAAAATACTATTGAAAATTCCTTAAAAATCCATATTTAGCACAAAAGATGCAAAACTTACTCCTGTTTGCAAGCAGTGTAATTGTCATGGATCCAGCTGTAGCCACAGTTGCCAAACTCACTTCCTCTCGTGTTCAGCCTAGTATAGCAGACTGGTGGCGACACCTGCCCAGTGCTCCCCCACAGCAGCTTACATTGGGCATCATGGGTAGTACACTTGCCCTGGTAGCAGTAGGACTGAAATATGAATGGCAAGATATTGTGCAAAGTTGAAGAGACTAAACAAAATACTGGCAAAAGACATGACAGTTAATCAACATACCAAGGTTCCACTTTACTAAATTGTTCTTTTAGCTTATAGAACCACTAGTCTGTAACATCTTAATTTTAATCAACCTTTACATACAATAATGTGTTAGTTGCCACTTTCAAGATGATACGATCATTCAGTTTGATACTGACTTGTCCACTTTTACAACTACGGCCATTCTGTACAAAAACATCTGCTGGGCAGTCCTCTGAATTCCCAGAACAGAACTCTGGCAGATCACACTCTCCAGCCACTGGCCGACACTCTGTGGCCATAGGTTTCATCTGGCAGGTCTGTAGGTTACAGCAGGTACCTGTAGCACAGGTGGCATTGGTCATCAGAGTACAGCTGCTGGCATTACAACACTTGTTTTTACATTCCTGGAATATTTACAATCATTCTGGTCATGCGCAGAATTAATGGAAGGTAGTTTTCTCTTTCTAGGAACACAAGGGTATTACAGCATTGTAAATATCTCTTAACAGTTCTCAAATACAATTTGACTGCTTTTTCTCTTACTTTCTTGGAAAGGTTACAATGTAATTTTCAAATGTAATAAGGTTGGGTACACCTGCAACGGCTACTGTTAGACTGGGTTCCCATGCATAGATCGATCCAAAAGGATAATTACCCCGTAATAGCTTTACTAGGCGTGACAGACATTTAAGCCGGTTAAGTTGACAGCAATTTAGTGAGACTCTCCAGGGAGATAGATCAATCCAAATATCTGTGGGAATGGTCCCTTAAACAGCATGCTATGAATAACAATGCAATACTTTTGCTTACTGGTTCTAAGTAATGGCTTAAATTCAAATGCAAAGGTTGGTAACAAAAACATACAGAGACCATCAATTAGAATGTTTGGTATACATATCCCAACATTCCTGTGGTTAAGGTATTTTTTGACATAACAGAAACCAAGAAATTTTGCTGACTACACTTCACTGAATGATATTGTTAATTTCTGAAAAAATTTGAAGGAAAAAAATCCACATAATATTAAGCACTCGCAGTCCTTCTCACCTCAGGTAAGCCACAGTCACACTGTTCGCCATCCTCTACAAAACCATTGCCACAGGTTGGGCTACCAAACAGCCTGGTAGGCTTGTTCCTCAAGCAGTAGTCCATTCCTATGTCAAATGCTTCCTGCAGCTCTTTTTTGGAGCAAGATGACCACTTGGTAGGGTTACCACTCCTGTGAAGGAAAAATTAAAATTGTTTCTCAGCTCAAAATCTTTTGTCCCGGTGTTGTAACTATAACTGTCCAATTTCGAGAAACCTGTTAAGGTGGCATAATTTCTTTTACATCATGACTCTACTCAGGATGTTTTGGAGCAACTTCATAATTTGTGATTGAAATTTGATGCAGGGAATTTAGATTAAACTTCTGAGTTGTTTGTGACTGCAAGATTAAGAGCAAATTTATGACAATGACTTCAACTTGTATCTGCTTATTTCTTAATAAAACTGTAATCCTCTGATATTGAAAATGCTTCAAGTAAAGTTGTGAAAAAGCCTTTTTAACAACAAGACAATTGGACCCAAAATGGCCAAACTAAGTTTCCAAATGATCAGTTAACATTCCCCAACAGCCTTAAATTTTTTATATCCAATATGAAGCAACCTGGTGACTCCCAACTAGACCAATATTACCCACGTAAAAGATATCTCTGTGAATTATGGCCTGTGATATTCAAGTTGTCAACATTGCTGTAGTGTCACCACCATGTGATTCTGCTTACCCTGTGGTTGCAGCCATGATGCACCTCTGTTCTGGACATTTACACACACTCAGGTTATCATGTGTCATGCCAAAGTTGTGTCCCATCTCATGGGCTACTGTGGTGCCTACTGGACCAGGGAGCTCGCTGTGATCCTAGAAGATATATTAATTTAAAATTATATAAATTTAGAAAATTTACTCCATCTTTTCACACAAAAAAATTTACCAGTTTATAAATTGCTATAAAATGCATGTAATGAAGATATTAAGTTTGCTACATTCTTCTATGTAATTCTATTATGAAGTCTATCTGAGTTTATTCCATAATGCTTTTAACAAAATTTTTTACAAATTACATGCATAAGAAAACAAACACTAAATGGAACACTAAGAAACCTGAAATCGTTTGATGAAGCAGCTTTTCCATTACAACAAATGCTTAACAAAGTTGAAAATTTGTGAGAATAAATGAAAGGTGTGCAGGGATATAGCAATTATATAAAAGGAAGTATGTATCGTGCAGCACAGCATCAATTTCTTTTAAAAAACTTTTTTTTAGATAGCTGCATTACAAACTTTGATACATTTATATTATCATAATTTTATCAACCAAGTCATTCTTATCTGAACCAAGTGTAAGTAAACTACAGACAAGGTCAACAATTGTAACTTCAGTCGGAAGACTGTCCATAGGAAGGCTGTATTTCCTAACATATAGTCTGTAGTATACCTAAACCAGGCTGGGCTGAAAGTGCTACTTCATTAGTAATCACCATTCCGGTTAGTAACTAGGAACCACTGTANTTAAAAAGAAATAAGATCATAAGACACTGCTTGACTATTAAATCTTTTTGAAGTTACCACATCAAGCATTTGCCTTAAACAGTAGTTTTTCTTAGTGCTTTGGGAACCAAAAAAATATAACAGTTTTCATTATTTTCAGTGAAAAATGAAACTTAAAAAGTTTTATAAAACAATATTCTAACTCTTGACCTGGTAACAAAGGGGTATCGTTTATGTCAAAAATCCACTTACAGTACTTAACAGATTCTCTCTAAAATGCATGAGTTCACAATGACAATTTATGTCATTTCAGTAATACTACACTACAGAACACCTGAATTTGTAACAAACAATATAACAAAAGCAAAATGTGTACACAGTGAAATAACAAGGAAAACCAACTAGTGTGAAAGAAAACTTCCTACCCTAACAACACCCCCTGAATACCGGAAGGAACACATAGGAGTCTGAGATGCTTTCCCCAGAATTCTGTTTGCAAATACACCACCTCTGAAATAAGGTACAAACAAAAACAGACACAATGAGTGCACACCTAAAAAGCAGCTAGTGCTATGTGCATTGAGCTCTGCACAGATTAAAGTATGGCCAATTTTGGCAGTTCAGTAATTTATTAACATGTGCAATTGATTCACTATTCCTGAAATCATAATGAAGAGAAATTTTGTAAAATGAGAACTACATGATATATATATGAATCTGCAACCCAACCATAAACCATACACAGAGGCCAACTTCTCTTCATAAGCCTCTGTGAATCAATCTTCCATGATTATTTATATACCCATACTGCCTGCCTATCTATTAGTAACTTTGCATTCTGTGTCTTTCAGCCCAGTTACCATACCAGCAAGTCAATTGCAAGCAGCTAAAGCCATATTTCTCGATGAATTATCTCGAGTTGTCCTCGTGCATCCCAAGCAGTTGTGTTCACCAATTCTAATACCTAAAGACCAGGACAACATAAAAGACCTGCTCTTCCTGTACAAACCTACCGTATTAACACCGCCAGAGTAGCGGTATGTACATATGGGACGCTTGAGAGCTTTACCCACAATGCCATCTTTAAATGATTGACCACTGAAAATGGCATAATGAACAAAACAGAGTAAGACAGAGGGCTGGATACATTGCAATAATTTATTAAGAATATTAATCTTGTCTTACATCATTTTTCCATAACCTGGAATTTAAATCCTGTCAAACCATATTCCTTTGTTTTTGTCAGCTAAACAAATGCTAAAAAGATATTTCTACTAGATTTCAACATTTTACTCTTCAGAAAATTCTTCAATTGTTTCATATAAATATACTGGTATTGTGTTTGGTCAGTCTTTTTTAAACTTACGTGATAAGTTGGCCGTTATCATTGGGAAAGTGGGGGTTGAGAAATGTTTTTCTATAGGAGAGAAAGTTGTTGAGGGTTACATCAGCATCCTGATCTACTATAATCTTATCCCCACTGTCCCACACCTCCACTCCTACCAATGCCACATAGATGTCTAGCTCATTGTATAACTGAAAACACATTGCAATACATTAATGAGAAATATTAGCATCACGTGTGAGATGTTCAATGACCACTACATAGTAAGAAAGGCAACAGTATCATCAACTGGTTAGCAAATCTTATGGTAGATGTACCTCAAATGGTATTACATACAATTTGATACAAAAACAAAAATTATTTTCCAAATATTATGTTTTCCCACTAATTGTAACTTATAATCTAAATTACATTAAATATCAAATAGAACAGTTACAGGATTTTTACTTACAGCACTGACAATGTTGCCAATTTCTTTACTCCTCTGGATTACTTTTGCAACATTTTTTCCATGCATGTCAAACTAAAATAAACCAATAAATTTAGAAAGGAAAAGGGTAATAAGACAAAAAAGTTTTGTGATAACAATACATCATCTGAACAGAGACATCCAATAGAAATGTGCCGACATGTAATATCTACTTAATCTCAAAGACAGAGGGAAAAGATAAAAGAGAAATATAGTAGTTATCTGAGTACGAAGGAGATATTTTCAAATTAGTAAGGTGGGGGGCAGTTGTACCTGTCTTGGACTCAGTGTGGATTGAATAATGATCTTTGATTGATTACAGAGACAGAGTAAAGTAGTCCATTATACTTCTGAATACCAATTTACTGACCTGTCTGTGATCACTAACTAAGAATAATTCCACATATCTGGTCTTTTTACCACTGTTATAGGGACCCCTGATGGCTCTGCGAAGCTGGAGAAAACAGTACAGTATAGAATATCACTTTAAAGACATATTCAGATAATTTCTAAAATCTTAAACCTAATCACAATAAAAAATAAAATAAAAAACTTCTGAAAGTTAAGAAAAAGAAGAATGATACAGCATAAAATAAAAACAAATCTACTGAAAATGTTAATAGGCAAGAATACAAAAGGTAATGCAGACATGGTAATGAAATACATATCCCACATTGTATATAGAAAATATACCCATGTTAGATGACCCCTAGATTACTCAAATAATCTGATCTTATCTCAATCTCTTATGAATATCAGCTTTCTTAAACAAATTATCATGATCAATTTGCTCATTGTTTGTAATTTCATGTGGTTATATATAGCATGTAAAACCCCTATGGCATGAAGACATGCAACCAATGGCTTAAAGCTTACCCTGTGTAAGTGTTTAGAGTTAAGTGAACTGTGGTAAAATGAAGGAAAATCATGGGCATGGTCACCAGTACCTTAAAAAGAGTTAAAAATAGTTTAACAAATACCATATTAAGCATTCATTTGAGTGAAAGTGAGCCCTATATTGTCCAGGGGCGGATTTAGGCTGTCTTCTGGGTCTTCTAGAAGACGGTCAGATTTTCATGTTTATATTGACGGGTATCCAATTTTTTCTGTCGGAAGACGGTCAAAAATGGAGGATGGATCAACAAAGATAATTTGGAAGACTGTCAGAAAATATCCGCCCCTGTTGTCTTCCAAAGTAAAGCACAAAGCCTTATTCATAGTGTGCTTTAATGACTTTTTAGAAGTTCTCATTCAAGGTGTCCACTTTTTAAAAATCATTTTCTCTGCAAATTTACATTTTTTTTCTGCCCAATATACCCTGAGCCACATCCAGTTTACTTACCACATCTCAGATGCTGCTCATGTCTATCTGATGCTCTAAATACATGATGATGAAAGCCTGTAGAACCAGCTACTGGCTGAATATAATACTGCTCTGTACCATCTTGAAATAACCCACTGGAAAGGGTGAACATATGACACTTTTTCAGTTTTTTGTACTTTTGCCACCATATACAAGCAGAATAAGAGATCTCTTTACCACCAGGTTATAAAATGAAATGCGTTTTTTTTTTTTTAAACAAGTGTCCTGTGCTTTACCAACTTAAACTTATCACAAAATTCTGGAAGAGTGAATCACTGAAAAAAACTTGCTACAAACCACATCATATATTCTAACTACAGTACATAATAGTACCAAAACATGAAAGTCACGGAAGCATGAAATTGTTTATATCTAATTTTCAGACAAACATGTTAATGGGATGAATAAGGAACAAACATCTAAATAAGACTGCTACAAAGCTATTTTACAATCACTGGCCCTAATACAAGTTCACAAAAAAATCCATTCCTATCAATAAATAATGATTTTCCCAGTATAGATGTACAAATGGATCTGTGTGTAGCATTATGAAATTAACGAAACATGTTTCAAGATAAGGAGGACATGGCCTGTGAAGGCAGCATTTTCCTGCTGCTTCTTAGCATTATCAACAAATTTTTCAAGTTTCTAGAGACCTTTTGCATGTAATATTACTGGTGAGGCAGTGGCCATCCTTGCTGGCCACACTGTCAAAAACATTGAGGTTTTTATTTACAAATGAATAGACAAATAAGATTTCAAGCTCTATCAATAATCCATGGACTAGTAAAACATTTAAAATGCTAGGAAGGATCCTATAGCTAGATGTATAGAACTTTGACATGATCACATCATCATATCATATAAAAAGTCAGAAACTATCTTTTTAAGTTCAATTTCATGCTGTTCTAAGGTGAAAGGCCACTTTTCTCTGGTTATTTTCACTGGTTACATTCATACACTACACCTTTTTCGCATTAGTGTATGAAGAGAAGAATGCTAGGAAATAGTTCAAGTCAATTTAAAAAGATTTATTCAAAATTAAAATCTTAATGAAAATCAATAATATATTACCAAAACTGACCGGAGTTGTTGATTATATAGCCAACAGCAGAGAAAACACATCACATTATGTTATTTAACCAATAAACCTTTATTTCCTCAACCACAAAATGACCCTTACCTTAACCCATCACAGGTACTTAGTGCTATTAGAGATTCCTCTTCATGTCTGATCTTCCCATGATAAAAACAGTGATGGTTTTTCTGAAAGGAAACAAATATGGAACATTTATTGGTTGTTTATTAAATAAATTAAGTATGTTCTCATGTATGTTATTTTTCAATTAGTACAATAGACATCTGATACTTAGTATAATTTGTATCAGATAAAATGTGGAATCATTCTTAACAATATGAGAATCAATCTGATATGCTTGTTTCTGAAAGGCACATGATACCACAAAGTCTTTTAAAACAAAAGTATCATTGTTTTTTCTTCAGTGCAAACTGCTGTATAACTATTTGTAAAATTAAACTAAACAAAGCCATATGTAACAGGCGTTTCCAAGTATATCTCACTGACTGCAGCAAAACACCAATATTAAGACCAGTTCACACATTGACCAATATGGACTGGAAAAAACTGACATCACAGATTCTGCTAAACAATCTGGTTGTCTAATCACATCAATTAGTCTCTATCAAGTCTAAGTTTGTACTAGTGTGAACATTCCTGTAGAGTAATTAATAACTGTGAACAGTAATAGCACCTGTAGCAAATTTCTAGGGCAAGAACAGAGCATTGTTCAAAGGTGACTAACCCACATATTTCTCACTGTTAACTGACTTTGTTTGAAGTAACCACCCCTCGATTTCCACCTTTATTCATTAAGCTTTCTGACACTTAACACCCTTGTTCTCAGACCACACGTCTGCTGGAACTGTTCTTACTGCCAGACTGCAAAAACCACAAGATCCAGTTATCCAAATTCCTAACAAGTTACTCAACAGAATCAAGGTGCCAAATTTGACTTGTTGATCAGTTTCGTTATCACAATGGCCTTTTATTGTCTCACCTAATCAAGTAACAGTTCCATGATACTACACTGCTAGCTGCCTGTTTAAACAGAGAGGTTGCAACCTGGTTGAACATGAAAAACTGGATCAATATGTAGTTCACTTTCCCAGCCAAAGCATCACTGTCTGCCATGCACATCTACAATGTCATTTATTGGTGCAAACAGCTCTTCCAGAATGTAGACCCTATTCTCACTGACAAATCACCACACCCATTGGTGACTTGTTGTCTAACCTAGCAACTGTCTAGCCACAAGAACAGCAAACCTGATACCTTGAACAGTCACTTCAGTGCAAAGACACCTTTCTAACTAATTTCCATTGTAGTCTGTGATTCCAATTCAGCTAATTACAGTGTACCCTATCAATTTGTTGGTGCAGACCTTAATAATGTTGCACAAGCTACAGTGTATACAAACACTTAATATGTTTAAATTTAACTTAATCATAATTATTTATGATACATGTCCTTCCATTGCAAATCCATTACTTATATATCTATAATAGACTACAAGCACACGGCAATCTTAGGAGAAAACCCTATCATATTGAAAATTCTTGGTTCATCACTTAGTGGAAGAAATGCACCTCTCCATGGGCAATAGGAAGGGGTGAACAATTTATCTTTTTGACGGCAAAAATGCCACTCTAAATCTGTTTGATCTAGGTTCTATGCCAGTAATGAAGCACACAGATATTGCAATAAATGGGTCCACTTTTTCAGAAAAAGACCTCCCCTCCCCTCCCCTCATTCAAATTTTCTGGATATGTGTCTTCCCATTCTTATGCCTTGCATATGGTAAAGGCAATAAAAACAACAAAATGTATAAATGCAAGTACACTGGCCATTTTACAATTACCAATCAAGCTATCTTAAGAAATACAGCAGGAACACTTCTCCAAGAGGTAAAAGAGTGCATAACCATTTATTCTCCATTTCATGATCCACAGACTGATTCCATAACTATAGCACTGAACATTTATTTTATAAATGACTTTAAAGGCATCAAGTCTGTGTGGTTATGTAACAAATGAAAGATGGACACCTTCATTTAAAGGATGATGCACATGTGCTGCTGGAAAGAATTCTATTACTTTCATCACAAGAAGCAGGCTACTTATTTTAATATGCCTCCAGAGTTCAACACACTCAAGTTGTGTCCCATACATATCTGACGTTATTGTCTTAGATACATCTGAAGTCCTCTTCACATAGCCGAATGCCTTAGAAAAATTTACTGAAAATTCACGCAATACTTACATGATCTTTGTATCTTCTTACTACTGGTTTTCCATTTGTTGTATGTTTTTCTACAAACTTATCTCCAAATAAATTTCTGAAAAACAGACAAAAAACATACAATGTTATGAAAAGTTTATTACATAACAAATAAACTAAGAAAATAAAGGATATTGTTGTTGGTCAGTTTCCCAGGAAATTGAAGCCAGGATTGGTCAAGAGGTCAGACGTGGGCAATACCACTTTTTTATATCTGTCAGAAGATGATTAATAAGTCTGTATAGCTGCCAATGATATTTTGTTGAAGTGATAGCAATTAAGTAATAAATGCCAGCAGCAATACATTGGAATCATATCATCCCTTCTACACAATCTTTCCACCCTGTGGTTTAATATTTCTGAACTAGCAATGGGAGTGGTTAGAAGATGCACTGTAGGTCTACGTATGCAATGTTGAATATTGAAAAGAATGCCTGTTTTAGTTACATGGCTGCAGAGACACTACTGTGCTGTGTGACTTGTCATTATATTTGACAAGCTAATGGTGGACTGTGAACATGACCATCTGCATGCTTATAAACATTAATTAATAGATTCATGGAATCAGAATGTTTTTGGCCTGATTCAACAGTATCTTGGTTATGAAAATCAATAACACCAAGAATATAAATGCATTTTATTCACAAATTATGAGACAATATGTAAAACTATTAATCTGCTACCAAGACCTTTGTAATGAATTCTTTATAATACTTACTTATTAAGTTTAAGGTCTAGTGTAAATGTTTTATTAAATGCTTCTACTACTACTTCTACTTCATCCAGATGCTGATTCTGAAAAATAAAATGTTAAATTTTAACTTCCATGAAAACAATTTCAATCAAATAACAAAATTTTCACGTGTGTTCTTGTACAGTTGAGTAATTGTTAAATAATGAAATTAGCATTGGCACCCATTTCCTCAGGATTATCCCCAATATAGATCCCAGTCTGGCACAAATGTATCAACAGGCTACAAGTAATAGAGGCCACCATGTAGCAACTGTCAAACCACATTAACTGAAAATTTCAAGGGCCTGCTCATTTCACAGGATGGTGATCTGATATCTTGGTAATGAGGTGTAGGACACACAAGCTATCTTGAAACAGTGTTCTTTTAATTTAGCTCTGAGACACTTCCCGCTGGCAGCCATGTTCATGGTAACCAACCTCTCAGACTGACAACATGGGTTCATCTTCACCTTTGGCCAATGAAATTAGGAAATAAATAGCTCTGGTGTTGGTGGCCGGATACAATACCCTGATAACACAGATCCCCCAGAGGGACTGGTCAGTTTACGGACTAGAAACACAATAGGGAACATATGGAAGCAATGTATACAGACACATCCACTTCCAGGGTTCTCTTGCAATCTTCTAGTACATTTATCACTGAAGTGTAAGCATTTTCCCCCTGACCTACCCTTAACCCAGCAGATGCTTCTGATGTTTGACAAACTGACCAATGCAATCCACCTTCTCAAGTTCTGCACAGGTGGCACTGTATACAGTCTTTTACACACAAATCATTACTTACAACTAGTGGTATTAAGAGGGTGTTGAAAGGACATAATGCTCTAAAAAAGTGTGACAGATATTCAAACATACTTAAAATCATTAACTAAGGGAAGTGGATTCGCTTTTTTCATCCTACATTCCAATACAAGGACAAGAAGAAGACAATTGCCTTTCTTGATTATTCCTTTTGTTTGATAAATAATAATACAATTTGGGAAATGTTTAATAAGAGATGAAATAAAAACACTGACACAATCAGTCATATACATGTTTTATCAAACAAGTGCTACTCCATCAAATAGCACATTCATTTTATATCTAACAAAATATTTTCAATCATAAGTAAGGGGCTAAATTGAAATATTTTATCCAATTATCCAGTTTCAGAGAAGGCATGAATAATTATTCAGTTGAACAGCCTATCTTTTCCCAGATGGCATGTCATGTGACTCCTAGTTAATTAAACCTGATTAATTCATAAAAAAGCATTAGTGTATGAGTCATTTCCAGGAAAAAATTCATAAACAATACCAAGTCAGAGATAATTTTCCACATGTCAGACTTCTACATTACTTGATTGTTTTCACCACCTGCTGAAGCAGATGAGTAAATAGTCTTGACTACAGGTATCTGTAATTATTAATTTCAAGCAGCTCTCCCAATACCGCTCAGGCTACAAATTCAGCTGAGAGCTGCCCAGAAATGAAAGGTTGAACAAAGATATTTTTCATCAAAATAACATTGATTTTTGGTAAATTGAGGTCATACATCAGTTTATGGATAATCCCTCAAGTGAATGACTTTCAGGATAATTCTAAAAGTTACAACAAAGCAGCCATGGAAGGTTGAAATTGCTGGGACAAGTAGGCAACCTAACATTAAGTGCAGCTAACAGCTTCCTCCAAATAATAAACATTTGTAAGGCAAGGCATGAAACCTGCTGTCCAAGGTAAGACATGCCCAGTGAGTGATGTCTTATCTTACAATTATTTTTAGATCAACACCATTAGTCAGGCTGGGCAAACCCAATGAGTTAATGAGAAAACTTATAATTTGAAAACAAAAGCAACTAGATACAATATAAACAATTATTATATCTTAAGCAAACGAAATTGGAATTAGTTCGTCTTTTGATTTCCTTTCTATAATGTGTCCTATTTCATTCGTTTTGAATCANGTCTTTTGATTTCCTTTCTATAATGTGTCCTATTTCATTCGTTTTGAATCAGATATCTGGGATATAAGGTCAGCTGATACCTTGAACATTTAAAGGCAGAAAGGGTAAAATTTCCCTTTCTAAATCAAGTTAGTTTCCTAATTGATATGCATAATAAGTCTTAAATATACCATGTTTAAAACATCTTGATTAACTTCAATTTTTCTTTTAACATGGAGATTCCTACCATGCCTGAAGAAATTTCAAGGAGAGGTAATGAAAGTCACTGAGGACAGATTTGGACAATTTTTTTAATGAAGCATTACGAGCTGACAATAGCTATTAAGTGCAAAATATCCTTATTTATATTTGGAGACTTTTGTAACATTAATTTGCTTCCTATGCCCCATAAAACCCTTGGGTTTCATTTACTATCAGACAAACTGCAAATAAATCCAATTGAAATAAATGTGTTTCCAAATTCTGAAATTATCTCAAAATCAGTCCACTTGTGCTTTTTTATCCCGATGCCCATGGAGCAGTTTTTACAATCAAACTCCATACTGTTTACACAGACAAAATCACCACTGAGTGCCTGCTCCCTGAGGTGCAAAGTTTATGTTCTTAGCAAGCTGATCTTGATTTCTTAAACAATTGGTTATTCATGTAGAATAAAGATTTACATGATACCATGAAAAAACAGCCTTGGAAGTAAAGGAAGTGTATCCTGGGCAATGCACATTGAGACAGTTGGGGACCTGGCTTTTATACACATTACCCTGTGGTTGAAAACAGCTCGGTTCTTATAACCTGTCTCCTGCTTGGGTCACCATCCCCAGGACAAGAACTCTAATTAATTATACCAAGTATTAACTAGAACTGATGCCCTCAATAAGTGTCCTGACACAGCTCTTTAACAATGCCTCTAATGCAACCATACAGCAGCCTCTCCTCCCACTTCCTCCTTCTCTACTGACCTCAGCCCAAGTCACGGCGTCTCTGGCACTCCGTCTTGTTCTGATCACTGGGACCACTTTTTCAAAGTATGAAAACTCCTCTGTTGCTTTCTGTCGACCATTTCTTACATTTCCTGGGTAAAAGAATAAAAAGGTAAAGAATAAAGGCAAAGAAGAATAAATGTGCATTTCAGTTTTCATGATTATGGGGCATTAAGCGAAAATGAAATTACATATATGGATACTTACCAAAAAAATAATAAAATAAAATAAATAAAATAAAATAAAATAAAATAAAAATAAATTAAAATAATAATATTAATAATATTTCCCATAGCTCATTTAGACATTAACAGGAGCATTCCAGTAATAGACTAGACGCTGATCCTGAAAAGAGGCTTATAAAGTAACTTTTAATTCCTTGGCAATCTATACTCAAGTTTGACACTGGGTTATGATAGACCCATGTATGGCGGTTTATTTCAGGGTGGTCGTCCTATAAAACCAATGGGCCATGACATTAATAGAGGGCACTACAGTCAGCGAAAGGTGCGAAAAATTGACATTTTAGCCTTGTTGTCAATATTTGGTTGGTAATTACATAATTTTACAAGTGACTTCCATCCCAAAAATCTCTGAATCAACCAACAATATTACATTCAATAAGATAACTGATTTTGAAGGTTAAAGAACGATCTTTTCAAAATCTTAATTAAAACATAGTCTACTTTTTTAAACTACTGCGGCAAATTTACTATGTTGGTGGTGTTTGGGTGATCATGTTTCTTTATATATTGCACTGAGAGTAATACAATTTTCCCTGTCCATTAAAAGTTATATTTCTATCTGTCTTATGAAGTTACACTTGTATTACTTCAATATACTGCTGCACTTCAAACATCGTAAATAACAATTCTGGACCATCAAACCACACTTTTTCTTTAACAAAAATTAGCTTAAAATATGTTTATTTCATGAGTAAAGGCGTCGAGGTGCAGGCTAAACGATAGACTGCATATAACCAAATTTGCCATTTCTATCAAGACATATTTTTCATATAAGGTCATACTTGTGAAACTAATAACTGTCATTATGCTGCATTTCAAATTTTTAACACATGGGTTAAAAGCAGGTATTGTAGTTTTTTAAAGTGCTTTTTTGACTTATGCAGTGCGTAACTGTTCAATAAAACCATTAACAACATGAATACATATATCATTTAAGTCATTGCAATATCTGCAAAATATCATTATTTTCATCTTTATGGATATCTTCATTATTATCTAATACCTCTCATGTAAGATACAGATGAACATTCAGACATTCTATGGGTTAGGTCCATACTGCAGTCTTTGATAAATAATCGAGAAGCAACATGTTTTGTTCTGTCTCCATCAATTTTTTCCTCGATAATGTCACTGCTATCTGCTGCGGCTTGCACAAGATCACTTGGCATCATGTCATATGATTACACAACTCCATCCCCTTAGTTTCAGCAATTACTTCTTAAGAAAGTCTAGTTTCTATAACCTTCATAAAGTCCTACAGTGTAAGTGATGCAATTCAAAAGTTGATTAAGAATTTTTATTTATTTTTTATTTTTTTTAATTTATTTATTTATTTATTTTTTGGAAATGGTCATACGGTTCACGGTCATGACTACAACATATCTGCCGCAGTACTCTTTTGTCATTTCAAATAACCTGATAATGCTAATTTTCAAAAAAACCTTTTTAACAAACAAAGCCACTCTGCAAATTTGAAGATATGGTTTGGCACTTATGAGGTTTAGGAAACTCTTTTACATAATAAAATAGCAAGAATATTAAGTTGTCAATCTTTCTATGTGAAATGTACCTTTAATGTGAAAAGACATAAGTTAATTATCTTTCCACAAAGAAAAAACTTGCTTCCAATAATCAGACCATTTCTAGATTCAGAAAGCCATGTTTTATCATCTTCAAAATCTCATTGTACTAGTACCCATACGATTGCAATGTACATTCTAAAATGTTTTAAGATGAAAAACAATTACAATTTTGCAGTTTTTAAAAGGAAGTGGACTATTCAAATGCATTCATATTGTTATCAGCTTAAGTGATACTGCAAAGTGTGCACAGCATTCTTTACAAAAACTGTTTGTAAAAAAAATCAACAACAAGCCACACACTCTTTGTAAAGAGGAAGTTTTCATGTCATCAGTAGATAAAAACATCCACTCAGGCATGCTGAAACACTTAATCAGGCTCAAAGAGGCACACAAATACCCCTGATTGTATCTTTGGTACTCATTGTAGCCTTACTCCACCCTTCTTTATCCTATTATTTTCCACTGCTTATTTTTAACTGCATAGAATGGTACATTAAGGAAAGAAGAAAGGGGCTCTTGTTTTATTTTTTTCTCCAGTAGACTACTATCAGTATCATTATACATGTTTCTACTGAAGTTTGAAAACATAACAAAAGTAAGAGTAGATCTACATGTATCCTTTTCCCTTTTGTATTTTTTTCATAAGCCATAATAAAAGACAAGCATATTTCCTTAACTTAAATGTGAGTAAGAAAGCCTGCTGATACTTTACCACTGTATGGATACAAATGCAGCCTTTCCAGTAATTCAGGAGGCAATGTCCAGGTTTTTTTTCTTGAACTTGACTGAAGGGGTCACATACAACTGTGACCACAGACAGAACATATCAATTGTCAGAAACTAAATTGGGAAAATTGAATGAATCCTGCATGGACTAAACAGTCTAAATAGAAGGGCACTCCATCATAAAACATCAAACAGACCTCACACCAGGCAATTTTTAAATCACAGAACTCTTATCTTAGTAAAGTAGAAGTAGAACCTGATAAAAAAAAGTTACAGCTTAATGATATTCATGATTGTCTTCAAACAAAACAACTGCCTGACTAAAAAAAAGTGACATTCCATGACAGCTTCTTCATACACAGAGATAACAACTAACAAAGGAAATATATCAAATTTTTTTTAAAGTAAGAATATCACTGATGTCTATCCACCCTACTTTCATTCCTGTTGAATGCGATTTTTCTATACAGTGCCTATTAATGCCATGATACCTGTCTTCATAAAACACTGTATTCCTTCCTCCTCAAGTAAGATCAAAGACCAAAGAAATTTTCACAGCCACTTAATAACACACCCTAACAATTCAGTCCATGTCAACTAATATGTAAACTTTCATCTCCTGTTTATTACTGAAATATTTATGAGGACTTCCTCTGAAAACCCAGTTTTGAATATAAAACAACAATGCTTCAAAGAAAGTGTACATAAAACTTGCATGAAAAACATGTTAATATAAAAATTTGAGTTTCAAAACTTAATCTCGAATGTTGCTGATCTTTGCATCTCATTCTTTAGCCTGACTCCCTGACAGTAAAATGCAACACAGTATTCAAGTGATAAATTGACAATTTTCAAAAAATGAGTCAGACTGAAGATGATAATTTTCTTAGTCTACCAGTAGCATTGCACATTGAAGAGAATGAGAGAGAGAGAGCATGCAGCAAAATGTTATTGGGAGGCAGGTGCTTGTATAGGTGTGGAGAGCAACATATTTTATGATACAGTGAACAGATCCCCTGACATTTGTTGATAAGTATTTACAACCCTTAGTTCCTGCCTTCACCCAAGACTGTAAGGGTCAAAGGGGATTAGCATTACTACCCTGCCATTACTTATCACAATCAATATGCCTGGAGATGAACCACCTGGCCAGCAGTATGCAAACCACCAATTACAGAATGGGAAACCAAACAATCATAAAAAATATACCTCAAAATAAGATTACTGCTCACCAGTTACTAGTCTACTGTGCAGTTGTCACAAAAGTGCCACACAAGGCATTTTTGTCATAACAGCTCAATGTATCAATTAACAGAAAATTAGACTTTTAAACCTAATTGAATGTCCGTACTGTAAATCTTATGTAAAAGGAGCATTCCACTGAAATATAAAGTTAAAAGTAATAATTTTAAATCTTTTAACCATTTCCTTAGCCTTTTTTACGGATGGGGAAAATCAATGAAGTATCACTGAACCATAACTTCAAATCTATTCCCAAATTTAAATAAATTTCCAATCCTACTGTTCCCTATTAGTGGAATAACTATGGGAGTACAACCCCAGGCCTCTACCATGACTGCTGCAATCAATCCTGCCCAGTGACATTCAGTTCATGTGGTAGCTAATGTCATTCCTCAAGTGTAGGGCACTAAATGTCACCTCAAAGTAAAATAAAATAAATTTCAACAGCCTTCATTGGTCTTGAAGTTGATGAGAAAATGGGCATGTTCATGCCAAGGCAAATGTGCACGTTGGAGGATGGGAGAGGAAGGGGGCCAAGGGCGGGTGGGCCGTGAGGAGGGGGGGGGGAGTGAAAGAAAGCACAGATCTTTAAACAGGTGAAAATGTGCAGCAGGTACCATGCCTAGGAACCTACATTCAAGACAAATTAATCAGAAGTTGTGAGCAAAAAGAAAAGCTACTCTGTACAGAAAAACTGCAATGCTGATAACAGGTTGTTTGGTATAAAAGAATCATAACACACCATTTTGTTGGGGTGCTTAAAACAAATTAAACTGAGCTTAATTGAAAGTCATGCCATGTAATCTACAACTTTCCCAGTGAGCTTATCTTATTTAATCAAATTTTCATATTCTGAACCAAAAATAAAAACACTAGATATATGCTAGTATATGCTTTTTGCCATGGCGCTAGACAGTCATGTTTAGTGCACTCAGTGCTCAAGAAATTAGGAACAATTCTATATTGACACGTATTTGAACTAAACTCCTGTGTTGTCAAGTCAATATTCACTATATATTGAATTAAGAGATAGATAAGACTACTATCATCAAACAGAAGCTTATGACGCACAGTGGCAAATAGGGTGGATTAAATTTCCTCTTTTATGTTCTATTTAGTGGCCAGGCAGGGCCCTCCCTGGTACAGTAGCAGCAAAGCAATTCTCACCTGACAACTGTGCAGTCTAATTAAATAATCACTTATCAGTCTGATTTACATTTAACAGAGCTATTACTGTACATCAAAGCACTTTGCCTAATGAGAACAGAATGGATAACATACACATCTCTCTTTCAT